TTATTTTAATTTATACTATTTTAATTTTATTAAATAATATATTAAGTTTTAATAAAGTGTTGTTTATAGTTGATTGTTATTATAATTAACAATAAATGGCTATTGATTTTAAAAAAAATTATCGTTTAGCGATGGATTTAGGGACGGAATTGGAAAGACATTTAGCGACGGATACACATACGGTCGCTAAATAGCAATGGGTTTAGCGGTGGAATTATGAGTATTTTGGCGATCGGCCATTCCGTTGCTATTTAGCGATGAGTTTAGTGTCACGTGAAAAGAGGTTTATTTACTAATAACAAATTAAGATGGATTCAAATCTTAATGCATGCATCAAATTTATTATTTTCACATACAATACCTAATAAATAATATCCAGATTTATATATCATAACTTTTTCACGTAAAGTATCAAAATAAACCCTTAGAAATAATTCCTTGATTACTTCTACCAAATAAATCTTTTTTAGGTGAAATAGATTAGTAATTTCCTAATGCAATAATCACTAACAAATCAACAAAAATCTCATCATTTATTTTGTTAGTACATCTTATTATAACTTGATTTTGACCTCGGATTATTTTAAGGTTGAAAATCATCCCATACCCTTTAACTTGATTTAGTGTTACTTACTTTAACTTCTCTATTCATGTATATTACAAAACAAATTTTGTACTACTCAAAATTGAAAGAATGATTGATCGGACATAAAATGAAATGACGGATTTGTCTTAACTATGAGCAATACAATGTTTGTTTTATGTCATATCTGGATAAAAGGATTAGAATAACCAATACTGAATCATACAAAAACACATGGTATATTTGAGAGAAATATTCTAAAGAAACCGATAATACAGACATGAACTTTATATTCCAAAAGGAAACTTAATAAAGAACGAGAGAGAGATGAAATAAATTATGGCGTAAGGGAAATATTATGAAGAAATATCATCATACAATTAGCATTTTGGCGGGGTAAATCCTTCAAGCATTGCTAATGTTCATGATCATACATATCCTTTATTTTTTTATGTGTATGATACCTTATGGATTAAATTATAAAAGGATAACATGAGTCGATTTCATCAATATTAATTAGTTGAATTGCATTAGTTGCTATAGCTACTAGATAATATAACTAATTCCTTAGTTGATATAACAACCGATCAATAAAAAGAAATAAAAACTCTTGTGGAAGAAAATTTAGTGTAATAAATAAAAAAATAATAGGCGAGGGTGAGTGTCTCGACAATTAAAGAAACCGAGAAATTTTTTTTTATCTTTCTCTTTATTGCGAGTCGAATGAACCTCAACTTGATCATGATTAAAGTAATAAATACTAAATAAAAAAATTCAGCATCGGACTCATCAAAAAGTAGAAAATGAGATTATTAATTATTAGAAAAACTCTCTAAAAAAATTCCTCTGTCTAAAAAACTCTCCAAATTATTTTTAAACCTATCAAATCCCAAATAATATTTTTTTACCAAAACATCCAATAATTAATAGTAGTTAATTATTGGTAAGAAAAATAGTATTTAAGGTTTGAGAGATTTAAAAATAATTTGATAGGTGTTTTAGATATAAGATATTTTTTAGTGGAGTTTTCCGATAATTCTCCTATTTTTCAAAAACCAAGAAAGTATTAAATAGATATCTCATAGAACATGTCGTTAATAAATTTCATAAACCTAATTGTTAATATTCTTTTGTTAAGTAAATTATGTAATACTACTAAGAGCATCTCCAATGCTCTCTTTATATTAAGATTTTTCTTTATAATAACGAGGTTTGACCCAAATTACATCTTCAATGCTCTTTTTATTACAATCTCTATCTTTAAAAGTAAGATACGAGTGTTTTTGGCTCTCCAATATTACGGAGTGTAAATGACTATTTATCTTATATTTTATTAATGAAAATTACTATTTCCTACACTACTCGGTCTCTTCACTAATAGTCTCTCTAGGTTATTTGTCAAAATTAAATATTTTATGAATTTTGTCAAAATACCGCTCAACCTCTTCACCAATAATCTTTCTAGGTTATTTGTCAAAATTAAATATTTTATGAATTTTGTCAAAATAAAGAGTTAAAGTAAATGATAGTATTGAAGAATATCATTAGAGATGCTCTAAGTACTATGTTGCTATATTATTATTATTGATTTGCATTGCTCTTGGGTGGCGTACCTAACCTATAATTAAGAGCGTTACTGTGTTAGATATATATATCATTCTATTTATTTATTTTCCATCTAATCGAGACACTGATCGATGACTTGCATTTTTATAGCTTTTGTAGTATACCGATTCATTGCATCTCATATGAAGTCATTCAAAATTTCTGTCCTTTATGCTATCTATTTTCGTGGAAGTCAAGGAGTGGTCTCACAAGCATAGTCTATTATCTTAGATGCTTAATTAATACAGCTAAAGAAAGTGTTTTTCCCACATTATTTAGATTTTTTTTTCCTTTAGAATCAGTGTATAGAATCGATCAAAGACGAATTGTAATTTAATATTAATTTAATTCAAAAAATAATAAATTTAAAATTGATTAATTTAAAAACTGATCAGAAAATATTCTCTCTTTGAAAAAAAATTTAAAATATAAATATGCAAATAAGACTTGACAATAAAATATTTTAGTTTCTTTATAAGAAAAAAAAGATATATATATATATATATATCTTTTAAAATATTTCAGGCCCCAACGAAAATTTTCTATCGAACAAATAAAATGAAAATAGTTATGTAGAGACTTTTTTATATATATACAAACTCGAACGAAAAATTACTTATTTAAACGGAATCTTCCACCAAAACTTTTTATTTTTTTTGGATGAACAACATATTTTATTTATTGTTTGGATTGGGTCCTTGACCTGGTTGGTTGACCACCAGGTGATGGTGATGGAACTTACCTGTAATTGTTAGCGGACAGCTCTATTTATTTTGCATCCGCTTTTCATGTGCAAAGTATAAATGATCCAGAGTTTTGAAATTAACCAGCTGAGTGGAAAGAAAAATCGGTGCCAGCACATAAGCCTAGGCAAAATAATAAATGCCTTCCCTGCCAATTTGAATGATTATTACTACTTTCTTTTATTACAGCCTCACAGAAAAAAAAAAAAAAAAAGTCAATGCTACATTGATTCATTGAATTACAATTTTTTATGAATTTCTCAGAAAAAATTAAAGAGTAGTAATTAATGCAATATTGATTTTTTTTTCAACTTGACAAAGTCAATTTATGAATTTAAACTTTTAGGATACATGGAATGAAATAATTTAAAAGAAAAAAAGTGTATACATATATATATATATATGTCTAAAAATATTATCTATATTTTTATTTATATATGTCTCTGTCTCAAAATAATTGTTTGGAGAAAATTTTAGATGGTGTATTTTAATTTCTTAAAATACTCATAATTAAAATATATTTTATACAATTCTAAAAAAATATTTTAAAAATATAAATAAAAAATATTAATATGACATAATAGTTAATAATTTTTTTTAAATATTGACATGATATGACAATTAATAATTTTTTAAGATATATAAAAAGTTAAAGAAAATAATATCTTTTGAGACAAAAGATTAGCTTTTACATGGGTTATAATTTCTCCAAATTTTTTTACCTCTTAGATTAATGCTATAATCTCACCAAAAACTTCTTTTAGAAATCATTTTTTGTAATGTTAATTTCAATATTGGATTTATGGTGGACAAAAAAACAATAATACTTATTCAATACATAGTTTTTTTTATTAATTATAAAATATGTGGTAAAACTAATATCCTCATAAAACCAAGTGCAATCTTATATTTCTTCTACTCAAAGACACCCCACCATGAAACATGGTGGATGCAAGCTCAACTAACTTTGCATGCAGCTGTCCATTTCATAATTACAAATCCTACTTCCTTTTCCAGCTAGCACCACTAGCTCAACGAATTTGCTTGCGGCTGCATGTTTTCATATAAACATCAAGCACCACTAGCTACCAGTTTTTTTTTTTAATCTTATGTCTCTCTTTTGTTTTGAAAATTATATATTGGTTTGGTCCTTAATTATTTGACAGAAAACCATGATTATCAGTTAATTATCTAGTAAACTATCTAATATGTTGACGTGTCTAAATCTTTTTTTTTTATATTCTTCTTCCCCATCCTTCTCCTTTCTCTCCACCACAATAATGATAATAATAAATAAATAAAAAAACCAAAAACTTGCTCACAAAAAAAAAGAATATTTTAAACAGTTTGTTTTTCTGGATAAAAGAATTCACTTTCAATATGTTAACAATGCCAAAAAATCTCTCAGGCTTGAAAGACATGGTATCCTTCCAAGAATATTGTTGTTAGTTTGAGAATCTTTTTGCATTTTGTTGTTGCTTTTACAATTGCTTGCAGGGTGGAGAGTGAGGGAACAAGTGTTTTTGGAGTGGGTTTGGTGGTGTGAAGACGAAGAGCATGTGGGTTTTATGATTAATCTAAGGGGACAACCATAATGATTTCTAGCGGTAGCGGTGGAGAGAGAGGAGAAAGAAGAAGAAAACGAAAAAAGAAAGAAAAAGATAAAAAAATTAAATCAAAATAGATTTGGATACTTGTAAATATATGACGGAGATTTATTCTTATTTTCGGGCAAATAAAGATCCAATTAACATGATTTTAAAAGTAAAACTGAAATATTAAAATAAATAAAAATAAATGGAAGAAACTAGTACAAAATCAACAGTAAAAAGATCTATAAAAGCTTTAAATCGATCAAAAAAATAATAATAATTTCCAAACCTTACAAATTAAGTAATTTTGACTGAATCAGTAACACTCACAATCTTGCAGTGTTATGCATTTAATGCATCACATTAATGTGGGTGGTTAGTCATACATTCATTTAATAGGATGAGGATGTTCTTTATATAAGAAAATCACTCACGTCTTATGCTATGCATTGCTCACACCCTTATCTATCCCTAATAATGGAGCTGATAGATCTTCTTATTCTTGGTCTAACACTATTTTTTCTTGCTCTATGGTGGCGGAGCTTCTCCGTCGTCAAAGGCGGCGGAGCCAAGAACTTGCCACGAGGACCGCCAGGTTGGCCTCTTGTGGGCAACTTGTTCCAAATAATCCTCGAACGTCGTCATTTCATATTTGTAATACGTGATTTACGTAAAAAATATGGTCCAATCTTCACCATGCAAATGGGCCAACGCACTCTTGTTATAGTCACTAGCCCTGACCTAATCCATGAAGCCCTAGTTCAAAAAGGCCCTATCTTTGCTAGCCGGCCACCGGACTCTCCGATCAGGCTGGTGTTCAGTGTCGGGAAATGTGCTGTCAACTCGGCTGAATACGGACCTCTTTGGCGGACACTTCGCCGGAACTTTGTTACAGAGTTGATAAGCCCTGTGAGGATCAAGCAGTGCAGTTGGATCCGAGAATGGGCGTTGGAGAGTCACATGAAGAGGCTCAAAAGTGAAGCTTTAGAAAACGGGTACGTAGATGTAATGGATGTTTGTAGATTCACTGTTTGTAGCATTCTAGTGTTTATTTGCTTTGGAGCAAAAATCTCTGAAGAATGGATTCAGGATATTGATAGTGTGACAAAAGATGTCATGCTAATAACAATACCACAGCTTCCTGATTTCTTGCCTATTCTAACTCCCTTGTTTCGCAAGCAAATGAAGAGGGCAAAGGAGTTAAGAAAGACTCAAATTGAGTGCTTGGTCCCTTTGATAAAGAACAGAAGAGCATTTGTAGAGAAAGGTGAAAACCCTAAATTGGAAATGTTGAGTCCGGTTGGTGCAGCCTATGTGGACTCCCTTTTTACCCTTAAGGCACCAGGGAGGGGTCTTTTAGGAGAAGAAGAGCTTGTTACAGTTTGTTCAGAGTTGTTTGTTGCTGGAATTGATACTAGCACAAGTGTGCTACAATGGGTTTTTCTTGAATTAGTCCTTAACCAAGACATTCAAGAAAAGTTGTACCAAGAAATTGTTGAATTTGTGGGCAAAGATGGAGTAATCAACGAAGAAGATGTGGAGAAAATGACGTATCTTAATGCAGTGGTTAAAGAATCCCTAAGGTTACATTCTCCGGCGCATTTCACATTATCACATGCCACGACGGAGGAGGCGGAGCTTGGTGGCTACAAAATTCCGACCAATGTGAATGTTGAATTCTACATTGAATGGATGACCGAGGATCCGAGTTTGTGGAAGGACCCAGGTATATTCCGACCCGAGAGGTTCTTAGACGGTGATGGTGTCGGCGTTGACATGACCGGAACTAAGGGCACGTTGAAGATGCTGCCGTTTGGAGCCGGTCGGAGGACTTGTCCGGGATTAGCTCTTGGCTTGTTGCATGTGAATTTAATGCTGGCTAGAATGGTCCAAGCTTTCAAGTGGCTGCCCGTACCCAATGCCCCACCCGACCCTACGGAGGCTTTTGCTTTCACCGTTGTCATGAAGAACCCTCTAAAAGCAATCATACTGCCTAGGTGATTCAATTTTGTGTCGTGGTGGAATTATGGAGAAAATGGGAGTTGTTGAAAATTTAATTACATGTAATAAAAGCAAGTCCTCTTTTTATTTATATATTTATATAATGCATGCCAAGTAGAGAGATTAGGACACACAAATGAAAATGATCAATTAATTGTTATCCTAAGTTTAGATATTTCATCACTTGTATGAATTAATGTGATAAATTATGAATATAAATACTATATAGAATGTTTTCTTTTTCTTTTTCCTTTCAAATCACAGGACCTACTATTGTAGGTTAACATCAAATTAATGTAATGACAATAATGTCATATCAATGTTCATGCTTGGAAATTCATGCAAAAGCCAGCACGAGCTGGCTAAACGGTTGTCTATTCAGCTAATTTGTTTTTAGTGAAATAAGGTTTAAATTCTAGTAATTCAATTTTTTTTTTCTGATTATGTAATAAGAAAGACTTGTCTCTTATTATGTAACCCAAAAACTCATGAGACTCTGATGAATTAAAAAAAAAATTAATTTTGATTTCTTAATTTTCAACTAAAAAAGAATTTTTTTTTTAATTTGCTACTCTCAAATCTTAAACATTGTTAGTTGCATCCAATCTTTAAAAATTTTGATTCCTTAATTTTATTATTTGTATGGATTCACTTTTGATTTTCTCAAATCTTACAAATTCTCATATTTTAATTTTGATAAAAAATAAAGAATTTTTTTAAGATTAAATAAGGTATGCATGGAGTAACATAAAATTTTATAAAACTCAAATAAAAAATTTGTTCAGACATACATTTGTACTCAAAAGTGGTTCTATCTCATCGAATTACGTTTAAGTTTAAGATTTCAGTACAAATTTTCCTTCGTGCAGACATAATGGTTGTGATTAGCATCTGTACAAAATTTTTTGAAAAAATTAAGATTTGAGTGCAAATTCATAACCTAGTTATGTGCTTCTCTTTCTTCAAAAATGGATTTATATAATAAGTATATTGTTAGTTACTTTTTTAAGTGTTACTCTCTTTATCCCCAAAAAAACAAAAATCATCTTATTTGACTTTTCACATAGTTTAAGAAAATTATTAATTGTTATGTCATATGAGTATTAATTTTTTATTCATACTTTCTAAAATATCATTTTGTTAAAAAAAAATTGTTATCAAAATTAATTCTCTATTACATGGGACTAATACTAATTTAAGAAGAAAATTTATCCAAAATTAAGATGGTAAATCAAAAGAAAATCATTAAGTTAATGTTTTTTTCTCACATTTAGACCCTGTATTTTTTTATTTTTTTAATTGAGACTCTTTATTTTTTTCAACTTGATTGAGATTTCCCACTCTTTAAGATTTTTTGCTTAAGTCCATCCGTTCTAACGCCACCAATTAGTGATTAACATGCTACTTTTACTTTTCAAGATTTGTTTACCTTACAATTATATGTGTTGGTTACCGATTGATGACATTATAACGAAGGGTTTAAAGTAAGAAATCTCAAGTAATAGAGGATGTCAATCAAGCAAAAAAAGAGTATAAAATCTCAATTAAAAAATAATAATAAAGAGTATAAGGTCTAAATATGGAGAAAAACCCTTAAGTTAATTAATGATCATGTTTTAAATAATTATGAAAAAATAATATAATTATAGAAATATTTTAATCTCAAAATTTCGACTTGTAGTAAAGTCCTTATAATAATGAATATTTTTCATGTAACAAAAAAATTGTCTTTAAATTTTTTTATATTAAATGTATTTGTATGTATAAGAAAAAAATGTTAAGAATATTCATTTTTTGTTAGTGAATAACAGGAAGTGGAAGATTTTTTTTTATTTATCAATTAAGGGTATTTTATAAAAATATATTATTTAAATATTTGACAAGACAAGTATTTTTGGGACAAATATAAATAAAAAGAAAAATAATCTGTTTCGAACAAAAAGAATATAAAATTTCTCAACTTAAATTTTATAACAATAGAAACGTTTTACTCTCAAAATTTCAGCATCTAGTAAAAACCTTATAATAATGAATATTTTTCATTAACAAAAAATCGTTTTTAATTTTTTTTATGTTAAATGTATTTGTATGTATAAGGAAAAATATTAAGAATATTCATTTTTTCTTAGTAAATAACAATAGGAAATGGAAGATTTTTTTTATTATCAATTAACGGTATTTTAAAAAATATATTATTTAAATTTTTGACAAGACAAGTATTTTTGGGACAAATATAAATGAAAAGAAAAAGAATCTCTTTTAGACAAAAAGAATATAAAATTTCTCAACTTAATATATAGCTTGTTCTATATTGATTCTTTTTTTAAAAAAAATAAAATAAAATTCTTCAATTTCATAAAAAAAAAAAAAAATTTACATCAAAATCTTGGATGAGTGAATGTGGATGAACTATCCTGGAATTGAAACGTTAATTGTATCATGCAGTATCACTTAGTTTAAGCTGTTATACAAGATGAATGTTAAAGATTTTCATGTTAACAATCTAAACTAACATAATACAATTAAAAACCAATTCCTGCACAAACTATTTAAAATTTTCGATTAAGTATTCTTCAATACGATGTCAAAATCATTTTTATCACACGATCAGAATTCGAATTTTACCGTTTCATCAAACCTTTTGATCTGATTGAGCAGTTCTTTCGAATTACACCCTTTCACTAATACACAAAATGTACGGAAAAGTCTTGGCCGAATTAGTTGATGGAGCCTTAAATGATGGCATCTGCAGAATTTATGTCCATCCGTAACCTACAGGAAAAGGAGTATTAAATTAGGAAGTTGTGGACAGAGGTGGGGATGGTAATCAAAAGCAAACTCAATTGGTTACCTGTGGCAGCTTCACTAGCAAGGCCGAACATCATCAATACTAGCACAAGCCTTGCAAGCAATTGATCATGAATTTTATTTTGTTTTATCACAAATTGATTGCAACTTGTCCACTTTTGTGGTGGGGTTACCACCATTTCTTTTTTGTATGATGCGTGTTACAATAATTGATGTTTTGATTGATTGAAAATTATTTGCTGGAAATAAATTGAAAAACAAAAACTTGATGTACCGATAAGTTGTTGGACTGATATTCAGACGAATTTCTTGGTAGTATACTTAGAAAACCTAGAAAAGAAGACAAAGACTTGATGTAGAAGGGCAACTTCCTTACTAATTGAGATTAGGTGGATACTTAGTTGATTTCTTGATGACTATGGAAATGTGAATTATCGGTGACGATCGACCATTGACCTACTAGAAGCAGCATTAAATTTATTTAATGTGATGCATGTGACAATTAAGCTCATTTCTCTCCCTCTGAAACTTTTTCTTGTCTCAAGAATATGGACATCATATATTGTTGATTTATTCCATATGAAACCTTCTAAACTTAAAATATTATAATTATAATTTTTATAACATAACAATCACAAGCATTACTAAAATTTATTATTCTATAGTTTTGGGATATATAGGCATGTGTTGGAGAATATTTTCCACATTTTTAGTAAAAGAAAAAAATTACGAAAACAAACCACATTTAACCCGCACATATCAATCAAGATCTTTTCATTTGAATTACTAATAAGAGTTTTTTTTTTTAATGACTTATATAAAAATATGCAAGAGAAGTGAGTTTACTCAAATCTCCATTTATTTAAACTCTATCATAAAAAGGTTTTAGATTACGTTTTTTGGATCCTCTAAGGTATCTTCACCTCAAAAACTTAAACTAATTTCTTGGTATTACATCGAACGAACAAAAAAGAGATGATTATTCAAAAAATATTTATAAATTTAAATTTAAAATTATTTATTTAAACTATTAGAAACTATTATACTCAAGCCAATATTATTTGATTGTTGTAGATTAAGTTGATCCTCTGATATAATATTAGATTTGTTTCAATCATGCACAAGAACATTTACCGACAAACTCGAATGACCCTCATGAGAGAATTTAAGGTTACATCAAAAGAGTCCATCTTTTTTTATTTTTAATATTATTTAATCAACGCATTTCAATTTCTTAATTATTGTGATGGACGTTGCAAATACCTAACACATTAATTATAATATTGCACCCAATTCCTTCAATTCTTATTTATTTATTATGGTAGTCCTTACTAGGGTAGCCTAACCATTAGGTCAGGAAACGAACTAGCTAGGGTGCTATTCACTCGCTTTGGATAAAGGAATTATTACAATATATTTAGAGTTAATTATTTAACTAGAGAGTTTTATTTTAAACCATCTAAATTAATAATAGATGGATTCTCACCTGCTAAAAAATAATCTTTTCTACAATATTCTTGGAAAAATAAAATATTGCCAGTAAATTTATTGAAACAATTATAACTAATTCTATCGAGTAATCTAATTAGCACACTCATGATTTGCATGAACATATTGAGATATTTGGGTTGGATATATTCTATAAACATGACTATAATTAGGATCATAATCATAATATTGGAATGAACTTACGATTTTAGTTCAACTCACGAGTTATAGTTTAATTAATTCTAACATGAGCCCAAATATAGTTAAATTGAAATGTTTTTTTTTTTTTTTTGTTATTATAAAATCATGAATATTGGAAGAAACTAGTAAAATTTTTAAGTTGGTCTGATAGTTAAAAACACAATATATACTTATAATATTGTAACTAAAACAACAATTAATAACAATTATCATAAAAAGGATTAACGGTAGCCTATTTTTTATGTTTTCTTTTAAAAAATAATTATGGGATTAATGATAACCATATTCTTTATTTTAATTTGGTTTTTAAAAAATAATTATGGGTCAACATCTCTAATGTTTAACTTGAAAAAAGTGTAACAGTTATCACAATAAATTAAGGATTAAAGATAACCATGTTTTTTTATGTTTTGTTTTAAAAACATAATTATGGCTCAACATATTCTATAGTTAACTTTAAAAAAGTTATAAAAAATTGATTGTTTTAGCCGATACTCATTTAA